AATGAATGCACAATGTCGCACACGAGCAACAACAAATGGCCATGCAGTTAATATTGCGTACACGACCGAATAAATGGAATGTAAATGTCAACAAAACAAAATGGATTATCTGATTGAAGAGAGCAACGGGCAACGTACATTTTTTATTCTTGGGAATTTCGGGCAATTTCCGACGACGTCGTTCCACTTTGCCACTTGTGAACGGGTGCTGATGTATTCGATCGCTGAGATTCGTTTGACTGAGATCGATTGTATCGGATGCCGAGTTTGTCGCCACCAGATCTTGAGTTGTGGTTGTCGTTCGTAAGCCGTCGCCAATTTCATCGTCTTCGGGATTTGTCGATTGCAAGCATTTCAAACTACCTAACGCTTTGCTGCCCGCATTTTGTATGAATTTCGGTGATTGTATCGATGCATTTGCCGTCGCTGTTATGTCATTCACCTCATTTTCATCCGATGCATCGCTCTTTGACGTGGGTGACTCGTCGTCCTCTAAATTGGGTACAATCCTATGCACAAAAAATGAAACACAACGAGCACCTCATTAGCACAATAACTCAAAACTAGGCACTTGTATACAAGCACTCAGCTACAACTAGTATTTGCGTTTCTTTTTCACTCTGTCTTCATTTTTTCAACTCATCATAATCAGTCATTGTTATGAATTTTTTAACATCGTTCCCCACAGGCGAAGAGTGAACAGAACAGCGAAGAACAGAATGGGAAAGATAGCGAAAAAAAATGAAATCACGTTGTATGTGCTACGTTTAGCTTTGAAAGAAAAAAAAACTTATTAATCGATGAAAGATTATTGCTCGCGAATTCGGACACCAGGTGAATTTCCAATGAAATGACCACCAACAAGCAATACGCTTCAGATAGTTTTTTTTTCCTCGTGCGGCTGTTCCCCAGCAGTCTGTTTGGTTCGCATACAACGTTCTAATGTTTCATTTATCGATTAGTCCGTATTGTTTTGAAAATCGACAGAATGCCTCAATAGAACAGCGAATGGCGTAAGGAAGATTTTACAAATCCAATTTGCTGTCATCATTTCTGTTTGGATATTTTTAGTGGCTGTTAAAGACATATCACACCTTTTCACACACACACACACACACACACCATTTCAATAATCTAATTTTAGTTTGTGCTTTTGTCCTCATTTCTCTCTTTTTGTTTGCATCACTTTGACTGTCATAAAATAATATTGTCTCCCTATCAGTGAATATCACATGAAAGGATATGTGCAACATACAATGTGGTTCGTTTTCTCTCTCTTTCTCTCTCTTTCTCTCTCTCTCTCGTTTTGCTGTTGAATCACGTTGGCGTGGCATGACGAATGAAAAGGATGAGCTGTACTGGCGAGAGAACGAAAAAGAAATAAATCAAAATTTCTTACGAGTAAAATGGTGCTGTCGTCTTTGATGATGCGCTTGGTAATCTTTCGAATGTTCTCCGAAACTCCTCGAATTCCATGTCAGCCATTCTGTATGCACTAATTTTTTATTCATTCACTTGCAAACTAAACTAAAAACGATGATGCGCGCACTAACGAAAACTAATAAATAAAAAATAAACTGAAGAAAATGCGTATCGAAATGTTGGTGCTGTTATTATTTAGGTTTTTTCGCGTTCTACTTTTTACGCAGAAAACGCGAAATAATGGTTGATGACGAAGACGAAGACGTCGTCGACAGTGAATTGGATTGAAAATTTGTTTTCGTTCTCTTCAACTATAAAATACCACTACATGGGGAAGAGGCCAATGCAAAACGACACATGGAGCACACACACACATACACTCGGGCGCAGCAATGTCAATTGACACGATGTGACATGGTATTGATTTTCGTGCTTTGCTGTAGGTGCAGTGCAACGAGTACAAATGTTCATAGGGTTGAAAATGCCTATTCGGTATGAGTCTCCCCATCCGTTTGACATAACAAACACCATTGCAACGCGAACACAGACATTCGCACTTCATTAAAATGAAGGACCGCATGAAAATGCAGAGTATGCGCAGTGGTAACCGTTATCACTGCAAGGAAAATCAACAGAGGGTGCGAACAGCATCTCAACCATAACGGTGTCCTTTCAGCTGAAAGTGTTTTGAAAGCTAAACGAAACGCTTTCGATGGAGACGGTTTAGTTTTAGTAAAAACTTACTCAACTTTCGGAGTAAAACAAAACGAAAAACTTTGAATACATGCATGCCATACAATCGAACTCATCATACGACAATCTTTTCGACGATTCCTTATAATTCGTTTGGGTGGAGCAGATAGATAGCCTGAGACACCCATCAAACCTATCAATGTGAACAAAATAGAATATTTAACTGCATCACTTGAGCTAAGGTACATAGGCGAAGGGATGGTGGAAGATGAAAACTGTTGCACATTGATAGAAACCTATTTCCAACAAAAGAGTCTCGATTGTTTGTTATATTTCTCATGGGGAAATGTTGAGACTTGAACAAAACTTACCGATAAACATGAAAGCGAAATAAGAACTTTGTTTACTTAGCAATGTTACACAGTTTTATTTGCATTGTTGTCGTTCTTATTTTCGTTTGCCTTTAATTCTTCCGCAGTGGGAGAAACTCAATGAAACTATGTGTTTTGTCAGCGCCACAATTCAGCTGAGATGTAATATCGATTAGAATGAACACACTGAAATCACAATTGTTGCGATGTTGAAAATGGATTAAAGTGCCTGTTGAATGTGACTCATTTTCTGTCTGTCTCTCGGTATGCGGGCAGCTAATAGCATCGCAAGTGAACCTGTTGCTTGTTTTGTGTCAATTTTCATTTTCATTTACAACAGTGAGCATGACTTTGACTAAACCACCAACCACAGATATTCATGTTCTTCTCATGACCACGTGAACAAATAGTTGTCATGTTCTTCGGTTTAGGTTTTGGTTTGCGTTTCGATGGTGCGATTAATTTACCGTAACGCTCTCTATCTCAAAGCCAACAACATCACTGTAATTGACTCCATTCTTTCGCCCATCAAGTCATAATCATGACCTTCAAGTCTTCCAATGCACAACCATTGTTCTGCGATCGAACTAAATCTTTTGAAATGTTCGAACCGTTTGGGCGTCTAAATAATACTCGACATCAATGACATCATCACTTTTTGATTTACAAAAGAATCTACTGAAATGATTTTTTTTTCTCACATTTTCTGTGATCTATTTAAAATAATTCTAATCTGAGTTCTCTCTAAAAAAAAACAAATAAACAAACATAAGAAATTATGAAATATTTTTTTTACAAATGATATATTGAATCGTAAAATTTTGATGCAAATAAAATGGTTCAGGTGAACTTTTGAAATACCATTTTCCAAAATAGAAAATGAGCAATGAATTCAAAATACTAATTATTCAAGACTCGCCTTCCTTTCTCGATACTGGCTTTAACCCCACTGTACTGGATCCCTTTAGTGTTGAAAAAAAAACGTGAAAATTTTCATAAAATTATAAAAGGTCATAAATTGTTGGTTTCTATTCCTGAAGTCATGCAAAAATTCGATGCAGATGACATTTTATTTCGAGAAACGTTTACTAAAATTTATTATCTTTGATCAACAGTAGCGCTCAGATCAACCCACATCTCAATTCGACCGTACCAAATATCAAATTCGGCTGAAAAGGTTTAGGATAAATACATGTTCTTTGGTGGTTGAAATTTGGATTGATTTAGAGTTAGTCTCTCTCTCTCTCTCTTCCTCTCATTCACGCACACAAACAAATGAAATTTCAAAGAAACAAAGAAAATTCAGGAATTTTTCTTGTAAAGTGAGGTATGAGCTTGGTATGATATTTTTACACTAAAACATTAAATAGTGAATTTTACCTTAATTTTCATTTCCATTTAGCGTGTAATTGTCCAATGGTGCAGTATTTAGAAGATTGCATGGTAGAAAAATCTTGGGTATCTGCCTAAAAATGGCTTTTGCGCAAATTTGATGTATAAAAGTGCGTAATTTATGCAGGACCATTGTTAAAATGTGAAACAAAAAGGATCACCACTACGTGCAATAGCTAGGAGAATTGATATGAGCATATCCTATTTATATCTCTTGAATTGTTCTTATCGGAAGAGCTGTAAGAAGGGAATAAATTTCATGAGCTTGGCATCGTTTTGTAGTTACAAATCGATCGAGAGAAGAAAAAAACAGCATCAGCAGCAACAACGAAAAGACAGTGTGGAAAATATGTGGGCGAAAATGTTGGAGTTAAAAGCGAGAAATCGAGCTAGCATAGAGCACATTGGCTCAATGATGATGGAATGAAACATAAATCGAATGCTGTTTCGAATGGTATAAATCTGATGCAGACGATTGTCGAGTCGAGTGCGAAAGTAGTAAGTGATGCTCTTCAGTGGCCACATCATGTATATCAATCCGAAACGAAACAAAAACACACGCACTTTCTCTCTCTCTCTCTTCCTTCCTCTCATCCTTAATGTATGCCATTCAATCAATTTAAGAGGAGCTGTGAAAATTAAATATACACCATCCAAACTCATTATCACCACATACCGATTTAAGACACATTCGCCTTGGCTACTCGACGTTTCCTTCACACATTACACCCAATCTCACACATTCGGATTTTTATCTTCGGTCTGTGAGCATTGTGAGGCGTGTTCTTATATTCAATTTCTACGCTTTGCTCATAAACATTCGATCCATACACAAAACGGTTGAAGAAAAATGCCTTTTCGACTCAATTTAAATGGCGTTGCTTGTCACATTTCAGTTTATATTTTTCAGATAATTAAAGCAAATCCGCAAACGGTTATTCGATTTCGATTTGTTGGAACATTGCCTTTCCTCCGGCGATGCTGTGCAAAAGAAACGATTAAACGCACTTGTTGAATGCGCCAAACGATACTTATAGCTCTCTCTCACCCACTCCCTCCTTCCAGATACAAAACTAAAATGACAATAACAAAAAAAACGATAAATATCATAGGCTAAGCACAAAAAAAAACACTGAATCATCAACGAAAGGGCGACGATAACGATGACGATGACGATGACGACGACGATGACGACGACGATGAGGAGATACAAAGTTTTGTCCTGATTTTATTTGATTCAGCCAATCAGGCACATTTTGTGCAAGAACTCATTTAACTCCACATCCATTTCGTTCGTTCGTTCGGTTGTTGCAATATATGTTTGCGCGCGTATGTTTTCCTACTCTTCCTCTACGAAGCAACTAGGCGCACTTTAGCCAACGGCTGCCTTTTAATCCTGCTTGCGTAGCATCATCGTATCACTTCAATTTCAAATTGTACCCGACTTCTATAAAAGGTGCACGTTCACCAACCATTTGCAACAGTTTATTTTCAGCGTTGTTACGAATCAAACCGTTTGAAAAACGTTTGTCGAATCGAACGGAATCATTGAGTGTGTGTTGAAGAAGATTTTTTTTGGTGAGACTTTTTTTTTCGGATGATTGGTGATGCTGATCAAATTGGATTTAGCCAACTAAAATATTGGAATTATTTCATGGAGTATCGCTAGATTTTTACTTTTGGGAATAAGTTTTAGAATATTTGAATAAAAGGAATAAATTGTGTGAAAAAAAATTGGTGAAAGATAACAGTTTGGCTCGCGTTTTTTCAAAAATCAGAATCAATAATTCTTTTCTCGAGATTTTTCGAACGTTCAAAAATGAACCTCGTGAATCTCACCACTTAATCACCACAGGACTCTACATAATTTCAAAAATAACTATTTTGAAGAACACTGTGTTTAATCAAAACTGTTGGCCATTTGAATGCTTAAAAACTGTGTTCAAATTGAATTAGTTTTTCAAAACTGGATTTATTCTTTACCATGCTAATTTCTAGTTCTCAAACATAAAAAAATATGTTTTTCAGCTAATTATTTCTATGCATGTTTTATATCTATGGGTGAGATTGAGAGAAGTATATGTTTTTTTGTGACGACTTATATTTTGATAAAGTAGAGTATGTTTCACTCGTGACTTTTGACAATTTTCATTTGAATGACAAAAAATATCGAATTGGTGCCTTCGCGAAAACTGTTGATCTTGTCAAACTGTCAAAGTTTTCAAAATACAATTAACGTATATCGGTTGAAATAAATAAAATATTTCAAGATTTGATCACCGCCTGAAAACCATACACCACTCTCAATCTCACCATTGGATATAATAAATAATTTCAATTTTCCAAAATCCTTCCAATTATTTTAATTCCCCTTTTCTCAATTGATATTTTTTCGACGAAAATTCTATATAGATTCTGACACCAACAATTTCAGATAGGGTCAGACCAAAAATTCATGATAATTATCAAAAATTATCAATTTTATTTAGTGTAAAATCATTAAATCATTCTTCAAAATCCAATTATGGGTAAAAAAAATCAATTCTATCTAGTGTAAAATTTTGCGTTCGGAACAAAAGTGAAGACCTAAAAAAATCGTCGAATAAGTCGAAAAATGTCGATGGGTCCAAATTTCGTTGGGGGTAAAAAAACGTCAGCAGGGGTTAAGGTCAACGAGAACAGACTATGTCAAAATCTATGAATATTTTCGAACAAATTTTTCTGTTGACTTTGTTAAAAGGATTTAACGCTCTAATGCATACAACCGCCTCTAGACGGGTAACATTTGGACGCATTGTGTTATAAACGAGAATGTGCACAAAAACAAAAATAGCATGTTGCAATTATTTTTGGAATGTACCTCACTATTAGTTCAAATGAAAGCCGTCATGTAATTATATGAGTAGCGCTCAAATCGTTTTGAAGCATGCCCATGCAAAATGACAGTGAGGCACTTTTGCAACATGCTATTTGACAAATTAAATTATTCCCTTCCAAAATTAGACACATTTTTGACACTTTTGAACAATGGATTTGATTTTTCTCTGATTTCTGTCAATAACATTTCTTGACTAAACCATGAGGAATCCAGGATTATGATTTTTTTTTTAAATTATATATGGCCAAAAATTAACCAAGTACCAGTACTCCCAGCCCTGAAAAAAATTAAAGAGTTAACTTAGTTTGTGTGTGCATATAATATTTCAGGTCTATAATTTCCGTTGCTGTTTGTGGAGTTGTTCTACATAAAGTCATTAGTGCAAAATAAATGTGCAAGTGGTTGAGTGCAAAAAAGTCACACGAATAAATAAAAGAGCAAATATTTAACATAGAATATCAATACCGTTAAGAGGGATACCACTTAAGTAAAACTAATCTTGCAACTGGAAGACAAAGTGTACTTTGGTTGTGGTTGTGGTTGTGGTGCCGATAGAGAGAGAAAAATCGTCAAAAAAGTGGAAAAAAAACGAGTGAATCAGTAAACAAAGGAGGATTTTTGGTTGTTTGCTCAAACGAAAAATACATAAAACGTGTATAAAGTGAAAAATGAGTGGCTCTGGCAAAGGATTGTTGGGTTTATGGTTGTATAGAAGTGGTGAACAAGAGTGGGCAGTTAAAGAAGGAAGTCCCTTGCATAATCAAGATGACTTGGTGGTAAATTAACTGTTATGCTATAGAATCGAAGCGAAATAGTTCGCCTTTGTTGTGTAGCAAAATTCTGTCAATGACCAATGACTTGCTGAATTTTTCCGATTTCATTTCGTCCAACGATAGACGTCATCGGCATCGAACGATAGATTGAAACGACAAGAAAATGTGTCGCCAGTGGATAAAACATCCATTATCTTCACATTGAACAACCAAGTGGGTGGATTGGCCCGAGCGCTACAAGTGTTTCAAGAGCTCGGTATCAATGTGTTGCATTTGGAATTGCAAAACACTAGATCGGACGTTGATCAGGTATGAAGATTTGATTTCTATCCACTGTTTATCCTCATTATTAAAAAAAATTGGTGTATCAAGTAATAATTCCATCTCCTTCATCAATACAAGACGAGATATTATTTCTGTGCAAATCACTGATAACCACCACCAGTATGAACACGCTTTCAGTTGAACTACTTATGGATCAATTTAGCCATTTTAAGTTGTACTGTTTTCATTTTTGTTGTAGGCCGAAGTATTCGTTGATATTGAGTGCGATCCAAAGCATTTGGATAGAGTAATCCGATTACTTAAACGGGAAGTTCGATCGGTGAGCTATGCTTCGGCTCAGGTCAATGACGAGTTTCCGCCCCCAACGCCTCTTTCAGCATGCTCCTCGTTCGGTGAGTGACCCGAATATAAAACACTTTGTTTCAACATAATAACATGAACACTCTTTAATAACAGCTTCAATTAATTTGAAGTTTGTTATAACTTTTGTTCGAAAATTTGTTTTCAAGATTGATGACATCAATCCTTATATGATTGTCTAAAATTCCCCCTCCCTTTGTATTCCTCTATTTCTCTCTCTCTCTTTCTTTCTTTCTTCTGTAGACTTTGGTGACATTTTCTGGTTTCCACGGAAAATTTCGGATTTGGATAAAGTGCAAAACGTGTTAATGTATGGAACGGAACTTGATGCTGACCATCCTGGATTCAAGGATCCTATTTATCGCAAAAGACGCGAACAATTTGCCTCTATTGCCAATTCATACAAACAGTTGCGTTCAATTCCATCTGCAAATATGAACATCTTCTAATTTCTTTTTTTTTTAATTCAGTGGAAATCCAATTCCGAAAATTCAATACACGCCCGAAGAAATCAAAACTTGGTAAGCCAACATTTCATTCATCCATCCATCCAACAGGCACCAGCTGACGTCAATCCATGCGTTCATTTCAATGATTTCAATTTTACCATTTATTATGAGCAAACGCGATATGTATAAGTGTATTGAATAACACAATTTTCAATACCACCCCTACCAGCATACAATATACCACTGATTTTAAAATCTAATTATGAAAATAACAAACTTTGTTTTGGTTTTTTGCTCACTTTTCAATGAATGTACAACTGAGTGTAGGTTGATTCATGCAAAATTGATGCAAATTATCAATGTGATTGTTGAATTTCAACGTCAATTTTACTGTTCATGTAGACAGAAAACATCGTTTTAATTTTCATATATGAAAAAACCACAAAAAATCATCCATATCCGTCTCTATTCAATATGAATCAATGCAGAATGAAATAATCGCTTCAACGAAAGAGGTTACCTTCTGAAAAGTAAAACCAATCGCCACTCAGTTGTGTGCTGTATTGTTGTTATCTTCGAATTTCAATTGATTTTTGAGAATTTGAATAAAAATCAACAAAAAAAGTTAACAGCAATTGACGGTACGAGGTCATGTGAGCTTGTGTTGCTGATGATTGGGTGCACGGAGTCGGTACAAATGATCAACGCACCATGATTACATATATTTCATCGTGCTAATTGAGTGAATTCAAATAAAAGCTCAACCTAATTCAATAAAATGCATGATGCAAAACATGTTCATTCCCATTGACGCCGTCGAGATATGTCGCGAATACATGAGCGTACAAATCTAGATCAAATCGATGACGAATGCATGTTTATCAGGGTGGTTCGCACTTTTTAGAAATTCACATATGACGATACATTTTCTTACGAGGTTGGTAGAAATAAATTGTAAACCTGTAAATTTTTAGCGCGATCGGATAACAAGTTTGGGGCTTGGGTCCAAGGAGAATCGAAAAAATCATACAGCCGAAAAACCCACTTCTGTCATTTCAATCACCATGAAACTTTCAGAAAGTTATTTTTCTACTAAAAAATGAAATCCCTGAAAGTTTCAGGCAGATCGGAACATAAATAGCTACCATACAAATTTCGCACCCACTTCCATTTTTTCCACCAACCTCGTAAAAAAATGTATCGTCACATGTGAATTTCGAAGAAGTGTGAAAAAACCACCCTAATGTTTATGTTATGTGGCACTTACTTGCAGGGGCATCGTTTTTCGTGAGCTCCATCGATTATATACATTGCATGCCGTACCGGAGTACATGGAAAATTGGCCGCAATTGGTCAAATATTGCGGCTATCGCGAAGACAATTTGCCCCAGTTGCAAGATGTCAGTAATTTTTTGAAACGAAAAACGGGCTTTCAATTGCGTCCAGTTGCCGGCTATCTATCACCAAGGTAAGGCTGGAAAAATACATTTTTCATTTGTATTTAAATTTGGCACTGTTCTATTTCATTCGTAGAGACTTCTTGTCTGGCTTGGCGTTCCGTGTTTTCCATTGCACTCAGTACATTAGACACTCGTCGGATCCCTTTTATACACCGGAACCGGATTGTTGCCATGAACTGCTCGGTCACATGCCATTGCTGGCTAATCCCAGTTTTGCACAATTCTCCCAAGAAATTGGCTTGGCCAGCTTGGGTGCAACCGATGCAGACATAGATAAATTGGCCACGGTAATACAGCACTAATTCAGATACCTTCAACACTTATGTTCAGTTTTTCAATGCTTTCAATTTTGCAGCTTTATTTTTTCACGGTGGAATTTGGATTGTGTCGACAAAAAGACGGTTCATTCAAAGTGTACGGCGCAGGGCTTTTGTCATCAGTTGCCGAACTTCAACATGCTCTTGAAACGACAGATAAAATTAAACGATTCGATCCAGAAGTGACTTGCGAGGAGGAATGCATCATCACTTCATATCAAAATGCTTATTACTATACCGATTCATTCGAAGAAGCTAAGGACCGAATGAGGTAAAAAAAAACATTAAAATTAAATAAAATCGAAAAATAAATTGAAATCAATTTAATACAATCGAATAAAAATCAAAACGAAATTTTTGTTTTTTTCAGAATTTATGCCGAAAATATTCAACGTCCGTTCGGTGTGAAATACAATCCATACACACAAACGGTTGACGTACTTTCGAATGCAAAACGAATAACGGCTGCAGTGAGTGAACTTCGGGGTGATCTGAGCATTGTCTCATCGGCGTTGCGAAAAGTTTCAGCATTAGATCAAGATTTAGATGTGGAGAAAATTACTCAAATGCTTCAATCGGGCTTACAGGTAAATTATTTCGATTCTTTTCAACTCTGAAAACCACAAAAACTACGCCATTATTTATAATTAAAGAAAAATGGTGGAAAGAAACTGAAAAAAATAAAGTTCGAATGTTTAAATTTCATGGATTTTTATATAATTTTCTAGGTTGGAGATCGAAGCCCAGTTAGCCCCGATTCGGATGGCTCACAAGATGGTTCCAATAAAACAAATGACAACACGGATGAAGACATCCAGGAATAATTATACTGAATTTGTGACTGAATGAAGTATGACCAAATTGAGAAGGACTAAATTACAGAACTAAAACCAAAAAAAAAAAGAAAATCATAGAAATTATAATAAGTGTAATCAAAGTTAATGTTGTTTGAATATCTGTGTCACTGTCAACTGAACCATTTAATCAGAAATATGTATATACATTTTTTGTTATTTGTTTTGTTTTTGCATTAAAATCCGTTATTTATTGATTGATTGATTTGTTATTGAATTAATTTATTTTATTTTTTCATCCATTCAATTCAATAAATTACACGTGTTCGAAATTGATAACAATGGCAATGAAAGAAAAAATCAATGGTTTGTTTAGTTATTAAATAATTTTCTTTGCTACAAATAATTTAAAAATTATTTCATGAACTTACAAAATTCTTATACTACATTGAGAAAGAAAAATATAGCGAAAAAAATTCGAGTTATTGTTAAGGCAAGCATATTTTATACAAGTGTTTGGCTGGATGTATTATTCTAATATTTCGGTTTTGATTTTTCATTTGGATAGAGAGGAAATGCTTGGTTTTGATCTTATGTGAAATTCATTTAAAAAAAAAAACAAACTAAAACTCTTGATTCATGTTCAGCTAATTGTAACAATTTCATCGATGTAGAAAAGTCAATGCTAAAATAAAAGCATAAACTAATAAAATTGCCGAAACGCGTTTCATTTTCATTAGTTTTGTACCATCACGGGTTTTTAAATCACAGACTTTTACTAAAATGTCATGAGCAAGATATATTTATTCACCGATCAACAGTGTGGAAAAAAAATTTGTGCGTTACGTTCGTTGCTCACGCTTCTTAAACTAGGTAAATTGATTTTTTAAAAAATAAATTTCGTTTCAGTTTTCTCGGGTGGTCGATGCATTATCACCACTTGAATCTTCGTTATCATTATCCAAAATGTAATCGTAAAGTGTACTGGATCCGTGCTCATCTGGATCGGAGAGCAATGGAACTTGATGAGATAGCTCGCTTGTTGCCCACAAAAACAAATCCAACGTTTTATCCGTACAATCGGCGATAAATCGTATAAACGGTCGACTATCACCTTCATTGGCCACTTGTAGAAAATCATAGTATTTATGCCTGTGGAAAGAATAAAATGGTTTAGATTGAAACAATTGTGTGTTTAATTCAATTCAAATTGTTTTTTTTTCCATTCTTCATAAAATCAAATTGATTCCAAATGGTACTTTTTTCTCATCAATTTCCACTTACCGTTGCGTCTTTGGTATGATGACCGGCGGATAGCCATATCGCATTAAAATTGTGTTCATAAGCAAACGCGATGTGCGCCCATTTCCATCGGTGAATGGATGAATATGAACAAGTTTGTAGTGGGCTAATGCCGCATATTTGACTGGATGCATCGATAGGGCTTGCTCAGAATTTAGCCACTGTATAAAATGCTGCATCAGTATTGACAAGTCATTTGGACCTGGTGGAATGTGACCACCAACGTATACTTGAGTGCGACGAAACTCACCGCCTTCAATTGGATCGACATGACCCAAAACTCGTTTGTGTATCTCCAAAATGTCATCGATTGATATAAAGTTCATTCTAAAATCCGAAAGAAAAAGAAAATCAACTCGTTTTTCAATCCAATTCTCAACTAAGCGAAACAGCTACGTTGCAAATATTCATAAGTGGCTTACCGATTAACCAACGTTGCATTTATGTACTTAAGTGCAGCGTCTAAGCCCAAAATTTCATTATGCTCATCAATGGATTTACCATTCACAGCCATTCTGGTTTCGAGCACTGATCTGGTTTGGGCCAATGACATGGTGTTACCTTCAATGCCGACCGAATGATAAATATGCTGAAAGTAGGCTTCTTTTTTCACACGTCGCAATGCAGCATTTGATTCGTGTATGCTTGATAATGCATCTCGCTTAGCATCCAATTTGTTCAGACGCTCTTGATCCAATTCTTCAACGATAGTGGCTGTGCGCATTCGATTAGCCAGCGCTTCGCTATGGCTTGGATTTGCGCTGAGTGCCTGTAGATAAAGGTAAAAATTAACATCTACTGAGCGTTGATTTTATGTGAAAAGAGAAAAGAGATACAAACCTGAAAATACATCATGTCGGCAGAAATGACGTCAGAATGGCTGTGCTCGAGGTATTCACCATACTTATTTAGCACTTCAGGATGTTTTGGTGCTAGAGCCAGGGCGTGTTGATACAATCGCAACGCTTTATCCGTTTTCCCTTGTAATCTAAGTTCCAGCGCCACTTTCAATGTACTTAACGCCTCATTCTCATCTAAAATAAAAAGGAATAAAATTTTAAATTGTTATTTCTTATGTCCATTTAAAACAGGGCCATACATACCTTCAACTGAATTTCGTTTTTTGCCTCTATGATTGGCCGCATCTTTAATCTGCTCCGAGGTGATCGAGTATAGTGAATAGTCGTCGCGCACTTGGAGATAGTGCACATCGGACAAATAATTGGGAATTTTACGTGAGCTGGGCGAATAGCGTGTGAAAAACAACATAATTGTAACGGAACTTACGACGCCCAGTACAAAAATTATTGAATAAAAATAAATTTGTTGCATTTTAATTTAGCTGACAGACGTTTTGGAATATTTGATGAAAGTAAATTGTTAAAGCTGGCTAGAGCTGTAGCGAACACAATGTAGAAATTGAGTAGAAGGAAAGAAAACAAAACAGCGCGCAAAATTATACAGATTATTTCCGCCTCTAGCTCCACAAATGCAATCAGGTAGAAATGAAATGGGCGAGCTAGAACTAAGAATCGACGATGACGCAGTAACTGTTGCTATTTCGCGATAATTTCAATATTTTAAAGTGATACGTTCCGTCGATTTTGAACATTTTTACTTGCAATTGTTTTAACCGAATCTCAATTGTTTTGTCACTGTTATTCTACGTCAGCTGAATGGAACCACATGTACATATGCAAAAATTGTAAACGAATTTGTCACCAAAATCAATAAAGAGGAATTTAGGTGATTACGGTATACTTTTTTCGAATGAATTCTACTACAATAAACACTTCGTTCCACATTCGTTCGCAAGTATTTGTTTGACATTTCACTGACGTGGTACACATTTTGGGGTGTGTTCATGCGGCAGAGAACTGTCTCGTACCGATAAATATTCAGAGAGAAACTCTTGTGATTTTGTTCATATTTTTTTCTAATAAAATAAAATTGAATAAATTAAAACGGCGAATGAAACTAGCAATTTTGATATAAACATTCCTAAATGTGCATCTTTTCTTTCGGATGAATTACATCATTTCTCGTTGGCCTTGTAGAGTGACATTTCGAAGGCTTGACAGAAGTCTGAATGCTATAAATGTAAACGTTTCTATTCATTAAAGCCAAATAATCAAGTGAAGCGCATATTTGAATTTTTTTTGCTTACATCTGAATGGAAGTATTGTGCTGATTTTGTGTTGTTCCGAATTTGCATTTCCATTAAAATGGGTGGAGGCGATTTGGTAAGTGAAATAAAAATAAGAAATAAAGGAAAAATGAAATTGTGTTTAATTCCAAATCATTTTATGTGGTTATGTTGAAAAGACGCAAATAACATCTATGTATGCATTTTTGGTTTCAATAGAATTTGAAAAAGTCCTGGCATCCACACACTCTGAAAAATCAGAAGCGTGTGTACGAAGCGGAGCAGGCAAATGCAGCTGAAAAGCGAAAACTACAAGAATTGCAGCGGGAAATTGAGCATGAGCGAAATTTCGAGGAGTTAAAGAAAATTGGTCAAAGTTCAGGGGTGTTAGCGGCCGACGATAGCAAGCGATTGGAATGGATGTACAAAGGTGCAGAAAACACTTTGAACCGAGAAGAATACTTGACGGGCCGTTCCATTGACAAACATTTTGAGAAATCAGACCGTGACGAACGGCAAAAAGAAGCGACAAATCTCGTCGGGGTCACTGTACCCAAAAACCATGTCGAACACGAATGCATACCATTCTCAATTCGGGCATTCCGTGGAGCACCAGCGGTAACACTTGATTTCGATTCTTGTTCTATTTTATTTTATTACGTTTTAAAAACTGTGTTTTGTTGTTGTTTCATGTTTAGAGTGAAGACCAAGTGGATCTACAGCGCAAAATCATGGAAGATCCATTGATGATGATCCAACAACGTGAAATGGAAACCCGAAAAAAATTACTGGAAAATCCAGTTAAATTAAAAGAAATCCATCGACTGTTACAAGCTGATAAAAAACTCAAAGAATCTTCGACGCACAAAAAGAATAAGAAATCCAAGAAATCGAAGAAGAAACGTTCACATTCGGATTCGAATGGTAGTGATGACGACTTGGACTCACAGCTTGCAAAAAAGTACAAGAAATTGCTGGGAGAAAAAGGAGAACAGTCCGAATCGATGAACATTGACAAACTGTTGAACGATAAATATGAGAAACTGTCATCTGAATTGGATAAAATTAAAAAATCCAAGAAAAATGATAAGAAGAGCAAGTCAAAGAAGAAGAAACGCGACAGCAGCTGTGGCGATAGCAGTGACAGCTCCGACTCAAGTGACGATGATGCAAGGCGGAAAAAAGCAAAAGTTCGTGAACGACGTGAATCATCGAAAAGTCATCGTCCCGAGAAGTTGGATGATCGGCGAGTGAGAGAGAATCGTTCACCACAACGGAATCGATTTGATAGAAGGTCTCGATCACCGGTACGAAATAATCGTCCGCGTGACAATAATGCAAGATTCAATAATAATAATTCACGGTACAACAATAATCCACGAGAGAGATTTGGGAATTCAAGGCGAAGGTCCAACTCGCGGAATCACTCAAATTCAAGAAGAAGATCGAATTCTCGGCGACGATCTCGGTCTCCACGTCAAAATTATAGAGATCGAGATCGACAAGTCGAACGTAGGCGAAGCCGTTCACCCATTCGAGAAAAACGTAACTCGCCTGCTGATCGATATCGATCGAACCGACAAAATGACCGCGATAATAGTAGAAATCGGTCAAATCGCCAGAATGATAGACGACGCAGCAAATCAAGAACTTTGTCACCAAAAAGAAAACCACGTCGACACTCTCGTTCACGCTCCAGAAGCAAATCGTACACAAGACGAACCAAGGAATCGAAATATGAATCTAAAAAAGTCTCAAAAACACCAGAACGACCGAAGCTCGAACGGATTGAATCAAAAGAAAATCACAAAAATGAAACAGAACGGCCTGTTCGTACAGTCGCACCACCACCACCACCACCACAAAAAAAACAATCATCCAGTTCATCAAGTGGAAGCAGCAGCAGCAGTTCGGATTCGGAAAGTGATCACGAACGCGTAGCACCAAAGAATTATGGTCTCGTTACAGCTGGTGGTGAGAAAATTGCATTGGAACGAAAAAATGAATCAAAGCACACTGCAATGGTGCCGCAAAAGAAGCCAACATCCACGTATGTTCCGCAGCCAAAAAAGAAATTGACCGAAGAGGAGAAAGAAGCGCGACTACGTGAAATGCAACGAAATGCCGAATGGCATGACAAAGAGCAGAACATAAATCGATTGCGTAATGAAGAACGGGCCAAACGAGAGACGGAACAAGAGAAACATTTGGAATTCGATAAGAATTACATTCACAAAGAGATGAACAAAGCATTAAACAACCAAGACAGTGTCGAAGCTCGCTTGAAATCAAACAAAAACAATATCCAACGTATGTCCAGTTCCATGCATTCACATTTCGCTAAGAAATGAACAAACATACTCCTACTATTTCCCATTTTAAACTCAGCTTCTCCAATCAAATAAAATTTCATTTCATCCAAAACACAAAAGTGTGTAATTCATTTTCTTTCCCTTGAGATGGCTCTGCCTTCCATTTGGTTGTCCAACGATGTATGGGCCAGGATACGAACCATAAGTCTATATACCTGTTTCATTCTGAACATTGCCGTTGTTTTGACAACTAAATGCAATGTTTTGCTATCTCGCCAAAAATTTTGACGTTTGTTCATCATTGTTCCAGCACATAGCATTGTCCATTTCATTTGTGTATTTTATAAATGCGTTGGTCAACAAGTGCAGTTCTCTCTTTCTGTCGGTAAATCGTTTCAAGCAGACGCATCGCGGTGGACATAATTATTGTGCAAAAAAAATAATTTATATTTTCAATTTCCTTATATCAACAAGTCTGCAATTTAAGTGAAGTGGTTGATTGATGCGGCGGCAGAATTCTGTGCACGCAGCAAAAGAGTGAGCGCGAGAGACAGTTTGAATGCGTAAACATTGACGACACTTGAAGCCACAGAGAAAGAAAAAACACAAAAGACAACTGTGTTTTACTGTAAGTGTTTTTGTTATTGTTATTGTTATGGTTTTCGTATTTTATACACATCAACACTTTGTCCGCAATGGCGATATTTTCGATCGGCCCTCCAATTGTTTCAGCAAACAGCAAAGCGCAAAGCATTCGATTTACAATCATGTTGGCTTCATTGGTGATGATCTTAAATTGTTTTTCTTGTTGAACTCGATGTCATCAATCTGCCACGATCAGTTTATGCAACAAGTGTACAAAAACACGTAAACCAATTATATTACCCAATGCATTCTCATTTCGGCTGTATGCATAGTACAGAGTCGTGATAGCGAATTATCCGAGACACCAACATATATGAGTCCAAATCCATGTGAATTGGTTTGTATTTTCAAAAGATGGCGCTGCAATGAACTTCTTTTTTAAAAAAATTGGTAAAATTTTTCCATTTTCATCGCGATCGAATCTCATTTGTGGCGCGCAATTGTAGTCAATAACTTGGCGCTGAGCTATTTATTTCAACAGAATAAATTCAAATATGCAATTTTAATATTGACATAAAAGAGTGGGAGAATATTAATGTTTTGGTACAACATCAATCAACGCTTTATTATGTTCATGTTGAATGTGATAGCATTTTATGGTCATTGGATTTTATGTTGACTGGTGAATGTAATGAGTTCCCGCGATTTTCAGTCGGTTTAGATATTGCAGAAGCCCCGGTGCGATTTTCCGTTTGGGCCAACCAGTTCACCTGACTGTGACTGTATCTAAAACTGTGTCACAAAATACACTTCAAATATTGAAAACAATCAGATGTGCTCGGTCGATTTGGATGCAACCAGTGGAATGTGCAGTTACGATTGCACAGTTTTCGCATACATTGGTTACGATGGATGAATTTTTCAACAATAGTTAATAAAATACATTAGGGTTCATGACATATTTCTACATTTACGTCACACAGTGAATTTCCGTGCTGTGTGCCATCGCTGCTGCGAATGAAGAGCAATGAATTCAAATGTCCATTTACTGCTGCTGTGCTCGTCCCTTGTTCGTTCGTTCGTTCGTTCGTATTTTATGTATATGAAAAATGTTGAAATGAAATAAAAATTGACCACTGCCTTAAAATATAGAAAAAGAAAATCAATTGCACGGCTTGCGACCATTTCGTCGGGGGTAATAACACCACCGATCCGAATAGTAAAATGACCAACCATGTAATTACTTTTCAATCGAAAATTGATATTTGCAATGGCACAGCGAGCTCACATGATGGACACAGAGAAATGAATTCATTAAATTTTCACAAATTTACCATTCTTGTCTATCATTCAGGATGATTAGTGGGACGAGAGAAAAAAAAGAATACTGTCACAAACTGATTTAATGTGCTTTTTCTGTGTCCTGTTACTTGATTGTCATTTATTTACAACGGTTGCAATGCAGCGTAGCTATCCGCATACTAACTCATATTGATGGAAAGATTCCACCATTGAGTTGTCAATCGGTATACGTACTACAGATTATTATGCAAAAAAGGCATACCAAACATTTCTTACCAATTTTATTATACAATATTTTACATACATAAATTAAAGTGGTCGTTTTGTTGTCAATTTTTCGATTGTACGCTTACGCTGTTTGTCTTGGTTTTGATTTCATTTGAAATGCTCTTGTCTTGAAACCAACATTTGCATTTCGATTTACATTATTTTAACAGACAGCAAACAAACGATTTCATTTCATTGCAATTCAAAGAATGTTCCATCATATTCAATCAATTCACTCTTGAGGCCCACCGTTATTCAGATACAACCTCGAATAGCTCGACAGATTATTGGCTCTAGTCCTTTATGGAAAATTTAATGCAATACAAACCGTAGCCAAATTGAGTTTTTCGTCTTGCATTTTCACAAAAATTGAGTTGAGATTTTGATTCAATTTGAAAACGTTTCAATTTTAATGGGACCACACTTTTGGACTATATTGAAATTATGGACAATATTTGGCAACGTTGCATTATCTCTACTCAAATATAGCAAAACTTTTACTAAAGGGAGAAAAGGTCACGAAAGGAACAATTTTAACATAGGATAAAATTAAGCAACAATGCGCAAGACAGCATTAATCTGCTCTATATTTTACATATTTATTCTATAACACATATATTCATATATGATTATAATGATCATCGTAATTATTATCTAATTTCGAATCAGAGCTACAGCCATTCAAAAGCCTGCCACGGGTCGTTAATTTCATTCAAAAGCCTGCATTTTTCAATATTTCTGCATTTAATATTCAAAATAGTGAAAATAGAACAAATATTAAGATATTTGATTGAAACTGATTCTATGGTTCAATTTTCATGAGCAATAAATGGATCGTCACGAAGAAGACGTTTACTTCATACTCTTCTATCAAATTTTAAGCGAAATTTGAAATTCCGAGCCCAATTTATAGCTCGATATATGTGTAATTTAAGTAGCCGCATGAAAGAAAAAAAAACACAAACTTCTAATTATAATTTATGACGAGTAATATATGTAACAAGAAATATGAAGGTAAAAACGATGTAAAGAAGCACAAAAAAAGAGAGAAAAGGCGATGAATCGTGAAGCTATTCTTTTGTTGGTAGTGCTATTGTTGTCCTTTAGCATTTGTTTGAACTACTTATGCAAAGCGATGCATGTGCCAAACCCATTGTCTGCACGCGAGATCTTTTTTATCATAAATTTTTTTTGCGAATATGTGTGGCTATTATCGAGTGCCCTTCATTGATTAATAGTAACGTTCCAAAAGGTTACTGACGAAGTGAGTGAGCGAGCGAGCGAGAGAGAGAGAAAGAAAAAGAAAAGAGACTACAAAAAAAAGGTCCAAGTCAAAAATTATAGTTTCATAACAAGAGGTTAAGTTCTTGGTGTGTTTCTCTCGCTCTTCCTCCCTCTTCATGTGGTTCGCATTCAGTGGCGCGAAGCCAAAATAACCGGAATCGATTAAACCTGAATTATAAAGACATCGTGATTACAAAAATGTACATTTCAAAACAATCCTGCTTTGCAAATACATTATCATAATTGAAAATTATTTCATTTGGACTTTTGTGGTTTGTGTGTGACTTCTGGATTACCGACCGTCCGACCAGCACTAATACGAACCATTTCAAACATACGGAAAACTGATAAAAATACAATGCTTCTGAAGAGAGGAACTAGAAAAAAATACAATATAAAATGTACGGAAAAAATTGCTTGCTTTCATTCAATGAAGCTAACCGTGGTAGAGGCAAAAAAAAATAGGAAACGGTGAGGACGACAATCTGTCGCTACTTTGTTTCTGCTGTTTTTTTTTTGCATATTATTTGCGGTCGATTAACAGCGAATCTATAACAATAACCGAGCAGACTGTAGAAAAAAAACCAAATAAATACAAAAAAAAGAGTGCATGAGAGAAATATGAATATAAGCCCACCAACCACAGACTCCCCAAACAACATTGGAAATGTTCAATAGTTGCACGGGTTCGGTGTCGCGAGTCTAATGCTTGCCAAATCCGTCAGTCGCAAACACTTCGACTGTGCATGTGTATGTGTGTGTGTGTGTGATTCACGTGCTTTTCAGAGGAAATTCGAGAAAAAAAAAATCATAAGCGTTTCGTATTTCTGGCGAGTGTACGGTGTATGTCTTGTTATGCTACCGGTGAGTCGGCCGCCTGCTACTGTACAATCGCTTAATTTCTTTTTTCCGCCTTTTTATCTTTTCTTCATTTTATTGAACGTGTGTGTGTGTGGATTTTTTTTCGTTGCTCCATTGTGCAATATTCTATCAATTTTAACTCGTTCAACCGAACGATGATGTTTGTTATTAGCTCGGGAATGATTGCGCTGAAATGAGGCAGAGAAAAATAAAATCCAACATTGCATCCATTCCAATTCCACTCACGTACATCATGTACACCACAATTTCAAATGATCGCAAATAAGAGCATGGCACAGAGAGTAATAAAAAAAAGCACAGAGGTGAACAGAGCCAACAACAGCAGCAGCCGACGCGCCATCACTCCTGCTGCTGCTGCTGCTGACAACAATCTACTGAATTTCGTTGAAATATTATATTGTTACCGTAAATCAGCTGAAGAGCAACGAAACAAAACGAAAACTAAAAAAAAACCAACAACAACAAAAACATCAAATGAATGCAAATATTTACAGAAAAGAAAAACATTTCCAATAACAAATCTGCATCATCGAAAGCCAAACAATATGCACATTTTCATAATCGGCGAAGGGAAAAAAATGGTATACACAACAGTGACTACTGGTTACGATGGCATCTCTTCGCATTTCGTTACGTGCCGTCATCATTATTATTATTATCATCATCAATTGTAATAATTATTAAAATGCTCAAAATGAAAATAGAACGAAAACAATCGCAGAAAATAGGCGAATCGAAGGAAAAATACACAAAACGATACAAACGATACAAAAACCCTGACGAAATACTGGAGAGAAAGAAAGAAAATGATATTGGTTTGGTGTGCTCGATTTCATCTCTGAATACTGAAATTAACGAAGCATCTTCTCGTAATGTCTCTTTGTTCATCTCTCTCTCTCACCCCAAGTTCCCTAACCACTTTACGCCCGCCAATGTATAATAAAACCATCTTTTCCATTTATAATTGACCTTCTCCAACTTCATCTCTAAAATACGGCGAAAGAGAAAAACAATCATACGTATCGCGCATCGTCGACCACAAATCCATCGTACAAATGGAAAGTTCGCCGAAATGCATATTTTCACCCGAAAAGAAATGTTCCACATCAAATCAAAGCAAAAACAAAATACCGTGAGGTGAATGTGTGTATACTAATAGGTATGTTGCAAATTTCCTCTATTTGAAAACAATTGATTTGTGATTCGTTAGCCGACCGTAATGCCATAAAGCACAAATTTACCGAGGTCAGTCTCTTTCTTTCTCTTCCGAACATCATGGCATCATCATGGCCAACGAAGAAATGTTCG